CACGTGTCACTGCAGGATTCTTCACAGAAGCAATTCCTGCATATGCTGTTAGCGATACAACTGCCGGAATCGATTTTCAATCACTGGAATTTCCATGAACGGTTTCAAATAGATTCATAATTTTCCAAAGGAAATTCTACTACAATCAGATAGAGAATACTGAACTTCTGCTAGACAAAACAGAAAATCTCATTCTTAGCTGAAAACCAGTTACTTTAAGGTTTTGTACACCTCTTTGCTCATGAATGCTGATAGTTTTTTTTCAAGGTACAGAAAACATAGAAAGTTAAAAAAAGATATTTCCAAGATGCGAGTGGTTGAAGTATAACTTCGACTAGTGTTAGGGTACATTTCATGAGCGTGAGGCTCAAAAATCAAGAATAATCTTCTTGTCCAAGCAAAGCATTCCATTGCTTACCTTCATTATCACTATTATGGTCTTGATTTGAAGTTTTTTGAATGATTGTATACAAAGAGTTTTTGTATTCGTTCGGACAAAGTATGGATCTTCTTTCTTAAATAAGGTTTATTCTCATCGTACAGGTCCCAGAAGGTCAGACAAGAGTTGAACTTTTATCTCTTTTCCTTGGTGTTCAATACCCACGTCCTCTTATGAGGTTTCCCACACAGCACCAGATATTCATGAAATATTCCCTCTATGTCATAAAACGAATGTATATATTCCAAATATTCATAGAATATTCTTGGAATATATACATGCCTTTAGAATATTCATAGAATATGCTTGAATGAATATGTCAGGATTGTTCCCGAAAGAATGTGCATAGAATGTCTATAAATGGATTATTCTCCCTTGAATATTCTAAGAATATTGTCGATCGAATATACCATATGGTATATTCTTANTTCACTGTATATTGTTTTTGAAATATATGTGTTTTTGAATATTATGTATTTTATTACTTGTGTGGATCTTGCATCAAAATGCAATATGCATTTTGATGCATGAGAATATGCCTAATAGCATATACTCGTCACATTCTTGGAATATTCCAAATATTCCTAGGATATTCATAAAATATATTTTTAGAATATTCTATGGTGATTCCCTATTTTATATTCCTACAATGAGTTATGAATATCCCCAATATTTTATGAATATTCCTCGGATTCTACTCCCGGAATATTCTTAATAGAATATACCTTACATATTCTAAGAATATTTCAAGATATTCCAAGAATATCCCCAAAGAAAATTCTTAGAATGTATCAAAGGTTCGCCAGGAGCACTTCCAGGGAATATTCTCCAGGAGATATCTATATTCATGGCATATTCATAGCATAGTACAATATCCTTGAATATATATTCATGAAATATTCCTGGAATATCTATTGCTATGTGGGTTAGGGCATCTGATATTCTGTTGGTGTTCTATCCAAGAACAAATATTTCAGTGCAACGTCTCATTGTCTCATGATCGTTAGATTGCACCAGCAGACTATTCAGTGATATAGTTGAGAAAGTGGGATGTGAAAAATGTTTGAGCAGATTTTGGGCAACAGCGCGCCCCTGCTCCCATATTCGAGTACCATTTCAAGGTTTGGTCCTCATTGGCATTCGGCGGCCGACTTTAGAGCCATTCATCGGACATATTTCCATTCATCAGGCCATCCGGAATGACCTGTGTTTGTTTACAGCCGGACGCTGTTAGCCGTTTCACATAAAAACACATGCTTTGAAAAGGAGTCACGTAACTACACGACTCCATTGTATGTAAAGCGGTGCGGCGATGGCATACGAGTACGCGGTGACCCCCCAACACGTTTCGGATAATTATTCAATCTCCTTTAATGCCCGACATGGTGCGAATAGCGCTGCTTTGGATGCAGATGAGGATTACGAATTGTGGGTTTCGGGGATTACTTAGATTGGAAATGAAGTGTCGGACAAATCGAGGACACTATCCGGAAAGATACCGGTAGTTTTCATACCTGAATGAATGACCTGATTTGTTTATTATCAATCAGTCAATCATGCTTTATTGTCCAAGAAATCCTTATTGACAAAGCTAGTGAAACTTTATCAAGTCAATAGTGTTAGAGTTTTTGAAAAAATATTAAAATTTTGATATACAGTGAAAAATCATTATGGGGTTGAAAAATGTACATATACGAATACACATAAATAAAACAATATACATTGCAAAATGATGAAAAATGAGGTAGGACATGTGTATCCGGAAATGAGCCGTTTCAGAAATACAGGGCGTTGAAGTTGCAAAATAAAAAGACCCTTTTCGTTTATTCCTTTTAGTCCGGGAGCTACGACGAAAAGGGTCTTTTTATTTTGCAACTTCAACACCCTGTATTTCTGAAACGGCTCATTTCCGGACACACATGTCCTACCTCATTTTTCATCATTTTGCAAGAGGAATGACGTGGTATAAGTTTGTCCGTCGAATTCTGAAACACCCTGTATAAACCATTACAGATAATAAATAGTAGGCTTTCTACAGAAGTACTTCTTTAATTAAATTTGCTATTGCCCTATAGCACATTGAAAGGTGGTTGTATATTTTCTTGCTCTGATATATCAAAGAAAATTTTGTAATTGCTGATTTTGGGATTGGCAGGAGTAAATTCCGACTTCTTCTCGTGTGGTAATATCTGTCATTATTAGCTGCTGAGTTGGAATTTTTTTTGTGAATTAGGCAAACGGTTTCTGAAAGGAATAAACAAGGTAGAGGTAGAATTTTTTGACTGATGAAAAGTGGTTTGCAGTGGTCTTGTGATTTTGCTCTAGATATGTATCTGACAGCCCGTTTTTGTAGAACGAATACCGAATTTACTAGTTGCTGACTACAAAAGCCCCAAAAGGCAATTCCATATCTCAAGTGCGACTATATCAAGAAAAAATACACAGCTCTGGCTGAGGATTGATTGAGATCGTTAGAAACAACTCAAACTGCATAGCAACCAGATGCTATTTTTTGCATAAATTTGTTATATGCTCATCAAATTTCAATTTATCATCTATAAATACCCCTAAAAATTGTGTGTGAGTTTTGTTAACTTTGGCGTGATTTTCTATAAGTAAGTCGTCAAAATTGAGTTTGAAGCAAACTATGTTTGTTTTATTTGTGTTGAAACATAAGGAGTTTGAATCGCACCACTGTTCAACCCCATAGAGATCCAGAGTTATGATGTCTCTGAGATTATCTTCATTTGTTCCACGCCACAGGATCGTGGTGTTATCCGCAAAAAGTGTGAACTTCCCTTTAATATCGATGGTTACCAGATCATTCAGATAAAGCAGAAAAACGATAGGACCCAGAACCGAACCTTGTGGTACACCTGTGGTAAAATATGCGATGTATTTCCTTGGAGTTTTATTGACTGCTTCCTGCCTGTTAGATAACTGTAAAGCCAGTTATATGACAATCCTCTAAAAGCCATATCACTGAAGTTCGAATAATAATGTTTCATGGTTATTTTTTTCGGATTCGATTTATACGCTTTTTGTTGAAGTTTTCCATTAGACTAGTCTCTGCGAGAGGTAATTCATATGTAACAGTTGAAATGTCTTAATGTCTTGACAAAATGGTTACGTAGGACTTTCGTGGCCGAGGTTTTCAGTGTCACTATTTTTCGGGTTCGGATGCCGTCAATTTTTGGAATTCCTTCAATAAGTTTTCCTCCAATAATTTCGATTGTAATGAGGTTAAATCTAGCTTTCTCGCTTCAACTAGAAATAGAATCTTATCAAAAATGTTTCATACTTAGCATGTAAATAAAACAATGGATCTATAATGGATCACTGAGCTGACTATTCTCTTTCAATTCAGATATTGAGGAGAAACTTGAATATCATTCTCTGATCTTGCGCATTGTGCAGTATAGATATTCAAAATCACCGTATTAGCAATTGATCGAAGCTTTCAGAGTATCTACCACCTTTTTTGTTTTTTTTTTCTGGTTGATTCTCCACTTTGCGGAGATCAACTCGAGAGATGTAGTTTTTGAAAAAAAAAAAGTATCTACCACCATTCGCGAATTCATGTCATTTTTATTCCTACTACTTGGGAGTCGCATTCCAACAATCTTGTGACCTAACTAGTTTCTGCAGGATTTTTGCTGGATGTGTGACATATTCGTCTAGAAATAATTTGGGTTTTTCATAAATTGTTTGCTTTCTGTAATCCAAATCCTTTGTTACTTTGACTCCAGCTACGGTCTGCCATGTACAGATTCATTTTGTTCACGTGTCGTCTCAATGGATAGTGTCCAATGAGTAGTCCTGCAATTATTCTGGTTTCCTCAACTGAGTGCGTGCTTCGCCACAGCCGACTTGTTAGTTTTGCTTAGTCTGCAATTTCTTTCATGCTCCTTCAGCCTTGTTCCCAAGAATCTTCTGGTATACCTATCAACAAGTGTACGGTATACGAAAAACCTCTGCTCCTGAGAATGGTCTCTTTTGTTTTTAGCCGACTTGACGCTTTGTTGAATCTTTTTGATAGGTTTGAAAACTCTTTGAAGGTTGTGTTTCCCCAAGAGTTTTCCAATTTTGTCTGTGACCCTAGCGATATATGGTAGAAACGCATGTGCAAGCATCTGAGCCTCCTTTACGTTTTGAACCGTGGAACTCTTCAGTTTCATGGCCTTGTTGACCTCAGGTAGACCGTATTTACTCGATCTCAAGGTCATTCGAACATGTTCCAGTTCTTCCTCTATATGTTCTGGTTCACATATTCTTTGAGCTCGTTCAGTTAGAGTTGAGATGACTACTCTCTCTTGGCTAGGATGTTGGTTTGATAGTGCGTGTAATACTGTTTCAATTATAATTGAACACCACTTCTACTATGTCCATAGTTTCTAGATAGGAAAAAAAACTCTTTCTTCAATAATGGTTCCTGAAAAGTTAATTTCAATTTATTTGTAGAGTCCATTTACCCAGTTGAATTGTTCTCTTGATATTTTTGGAAATAAAGAAATAGGAAGACTTTTCTAGCATTTGTTACGGGTTCAATTATACTGATACCTCCTAGTTTACTCATAACTTTAATAGCGCTCTCGTAAGCCAAAACATTACAGAATGTATTAAATCATTCAGGATGAATAACTTGAAGTCACTCAGTGATCTTCCACAGCAGAAAAATATCTGAAATAAAGTCATATTTTTAAAAATGTTCAATCAGCACAAGAAGTACTTTACCTACTTTGAATGCTTTCTCATTCAAGATACCAGTTTAGTTCATTGTGAATTTCCGAAAAGAATAAGAACATTATCTGTTTTATCACCATTCCTTAACTTTCCATTTTCATATAGGTTAGTTTGTTATTGTTTGGATAGAGGTTATCTAAAAGATCCAACCCTGCTAAATATTCAAAATTTGACAGAAAGGATGTCATTCATCTTCAGTATTCTCAACTTTGATGAAATGTCACTAATATTCCTAGTTTGACCTCCAGAATCTATCTGTTTCCTTTTTCCTTTTTTATTGTGGGCTTATCAAAGTGGAACATGTGGTTCTGATTTTCTCAAGTTATAGAGGATTTTCTGAGTCTGAAAAATAAAAAGTAGTTGTAAAACCATCAAGAAAATTGTCATAGGATTGATATTTCAACCAACCAATGTGGATTTTGGTTTTCAACTAACCTTAAACGTTTCCTGACGAAACTCTCTCCGAGACCACCCTCCATCGAAGGTAGGTATTCTGCTGGGACACATTCTGGGGATTATCCTCTAATAAGTGCATTTCATATGTATTAATGAATCCACAGGTTAGTAACTTTTCTGTCTTTTCAGGTCTCTTTTTGTTTAGTACCTAGTTTTACGTTTTCTCTGTACGAAGGATATTACCAGCTCCCACATCATTATGTCCTATAGCTATACACCAATTTAGCTAGCATGCATGTTTAGAACTTTGCTTTACACCTAACCGCTTGAAGACAGCTTCATCCCTGCTTAGTAGATAGAGCTTGCTTGATTTCCTCTGCTAGTTAAAGTACAGACTTCCCCTAATCCTTATAAACTGGACGGACCTTGTATAGAAAGCCGTTGTTGGGGATTGCAAAAGAAAGGACAACCTCCAAAGGAATATACAAGTAGGATCTACTTCATTTATTAATTTTGCCTTGTACAACTTTTGCTTCTTTTTAACATATAAGGAACATTTCATATCACCAAGAATATTCCGTGAACTCGTAAGAGCAAGTAGTGGTATTTTGTAGTTAGCACCTAGAACATAGTAAATATTAATTATCAATTAACCTTATGCATTGAACTGACACCTTTATTATTTTAAATCAAAACTAGCTACTTACCAAGACGTCTGTGAACCAATAGTATATATACTAACGGGGAAAACATTCGTAAATAATATCATTCTTGTATTATTTGAAACATCTATTTATTGATATATATATATGTATATATATTGTATTTATAATTGCAATTGCACATGCACCATATTGCAATTATTCAGACATTTGACAGTTTCTATTTAAGAATATAAAAATCGATCAGCTGATCGACCGTGGATTTATAGAGTAGAAGAATACGTTCCGATATACCGACGGCCCTAACTTTCGGAAATTCTATCCAGGGTTACATTGTTACAGGAAAAGGGTATTTACCCAAAGAGGGAAATTAATAAATATTGTTTTTTTTTGTTATCTTTAGTGTCAAATAATTTATTTTACCCACCAACCCTCTACCGGCTGACTAATTTTGATTTTAGAGTTTTGTTTTTGAGTTATTTCTATTACGCCCCAATAATTTGATTTTCCATCTTAGTCGGCGTAATACATTGAATATTGAGGGGTGAAAGTAGCCTATTCATACCTGAAACATATTGAAAACAATCAGATTGCATGTGGAAAATCAGAGGATTGGGACGTGGTGGGATCACAATTTGATTCATCGTCAATATGTACGTGATACTGAAGTCATTAAACCATTTTCAAAAATAAGTAAATTACATTCAAATCTGAGTAATTACTCAGTCGCTTGACTTGTCTATGTCTCCCAGATCTCCGGAAACCATTGCAGTCTCATAAACTCATTGCGTGTTCCTCCCATCTTTTTTATGACACCCATTTCAACAATCTTGTGACCTAACTAGTTCCTGCAGGTTTTTTGCAAGATGCATGACATATTTGTCTCGAAATAATTTAGGTTGATCATAAATTATTTGTTTCCTGTAATCACAATTATTTGTTGCTTTTCATCCGTTGTACACCTTTTTTTGTTTACGTGTCGTCTCAATTGACAGTGTCCAATGAGTAGCCCTGCAATTATTCTGAGCCTATTCCTGCTTTGTTGAAGCATTTTTTCAGTACTCTTCCCTTACGCTTTGTTTTCGATAGGTTTTCCATGTGTGTTTCCTGACATGTTTCTCCAGTACCCTTTTTGTAACTTTTAGACCCCCTTTCCGGTCTGGTTCGGTACCAAAAACTTTGGCACCCCCACAGGGTATATGTCTGGAACTGATGATCTGTGTTTCGCACGCTCATCGGCTTTTTCATAGCCTGCGATGCCTGAGTGTCCTGGCACCTAGTAGGTAGACAATCTATTCCTGTCCGCTAGATTCATCAGTTCTTCGCAGCATTCACAGATTAGTCTTGGTGTCGCTTCTGAGTTAGTCGGTGCCCCTGGTGCAGCCTAGCTGTCGATCCGCTCATTTCGTTTCGATTTTAAATGTGATGAGTTTGAATTTTCACCTTCTAGCTTTCTCGCTTCAACTACAAATGGGACTTCATTATACTCATTCGAAATACTATTATTCATTCTACTTTGATACCCAGCATGTATGAAGAATTGATCAATTCATCTTCATCAATAATGGTCCACTAAGCTGAGTGTATTCTCCAACTCTTTCAATTCAGATATTCAATATCGCGACACTTGAACCTCCTTCTTTGATCTCGCCCATTCTGGTGGAATACCTCGATTGCTAAAACTAAGATTTGCTGTGTAGATATTTGAAATGACTGTCTCGGCATGGACCGATGCTCTCGAAGTATCTGCCACCGTTTGCAAAGGCATGTCGGTCAGAACAATCAAAGTCTTGGTCTTCACATCACGTCGGCATTCCTCGAGGACATCCGTTCTTGCATTGTCCTCTTGTCAGTCGTTATTCAATCAATTCGCTGCTTTCATCGCAATTCTGCTCGTCAGACAGTGATGGGTTGGGATGCCAGTAGCGGAACACCGACGAAAAAAGGAGGAATTTGATTTAGGGGCTATCTGGAGGTGATCTTTCAGTCTGCGTTTGGAGACTGGTGAGAAAAAAAGGATTTTTTTATTAATGAAAATTTCGCAGTTTTCGATGGACAGGAATGTTCTAACTAGAATATCAACAGAGTAGTTGTTGATTTTCGAATTAATTGATAATTTTTACACTTTAAATGGAATGTGATCAATATCAAATTGAAATGCCAGATTTTTCGGGTGCATGACTGCAACCCATTGTTTTTTAATTTTGCGAACTATCTTCAGTATGGCATTGTAATACTTCTATTCCAAATAAATTCAGTACTTAAGCACTCAATTATTACTACTACGGTATGAACACGCCTGAAGAAGTAATTGTATCGTGAAATACGTGTTGATGTTTTGAAAACTATTCAGTGAAAATTCAATTATGAAGTGTTATTTCAAATAGTGAGTAATACATTTTTTACGCGAAGACTTAATGATGACGTTTTTCATAAAACAAATTTGAAACTAATTGAATGCGATTGGTTGAACAGGTCTAATGATGCTAATGAAATATACAGTAATATTGAGTCGAAATGTGAAATACTATTAAATGATATTGCGCCAATAGTTGGAATTGAGAATAAATCAAATCAAGTCCCCTGGTATGACGATGAAATCAGATCTGCTTCGAAACTTAGAGACAATGCTTACAAAGAATTCATTAAAAGTTCCGGCATTGAGATGGAGGAGTTCTGGAAGCGATATAAACTGAGACGGAATCAAGTTGTTAATATGTTAAAAAACAAAAAGTCTCAATACTATGAAAACAAAATTGATGCGAATAGTGATAACTTGCGGGAAATGTGGAAAATAATGAAAATATTGATAAAAGGTGACAAACAACCATTAAATTTCAAATCTGCTGCTAACTGCTAACAACTTCCATTCATTTTTTGTTGATAGTATTGAAGATATCTCCAATTCTATTGTAAGTGGAACACAATGGTCTCCTCAGAATCTGAATAATATAGAAACGAGATTTGTTGAATTCGAGAAGATTGATATAAGTAAGCTGAAGGCAATTATTTTTTCTCTCAAAAATAAAGGCAATGCTGAAGAAGTAATGTCTGCTACATTTTTGAAATCAACATTTTTCACACTTGGATTTCATATCCTAAACTTAATATAAACATCAATGTTGTCTGGAAGGTTTCCAAATAGTTGGAAAAAAAGTACAGTTATTCCCACCCCAAAAATAAATAATGCAGTTGATATGTCAGTATTCAGAGCAATAAATACTTTGCCGATTATTGAGAAAGTTTTGGAAATTGTTGTACATGAACAAATTACTAGGTACTTTACTGAAAATAACCTGTTTATAGGAAATCAATCCGGATTTAGAGAACAGCACTCGTATGAAACTGCCCTTCAATTAACAGTTTCAAAATGGAAGAATGAAATCGATAGTGATAAATTTATAGTAGCAGTGTTCCTTGATTTCAAGAGAGCATTTGAAACTATCGATAGGCAAATATTACTTCGTAAACTGAGATATTATGGAATCGATGGAATAGCCTTAAGTTGGTTCAAAAATGATCTCAATGGCTTGTCACACATAACAAGAGTGGGGAAATGTTTCTCAAATGAAATTTCAAACAATATAGGCGTACCCCAAGGAAGTGTCCTGGGATCACTGCTGTTTATGAATTTCACTAGTTCGGACTTCCATTGTCTACTATATAATATGATTTAAAATCCCTGAAACAAGTAAAAAAGAATAATTAAAAAAGGATAGTTGAAAATAACAATTATATTAAGCAACAATAAACCTGAAATGAAATGATAGTGAAATAACCTACAAGTAAAAATATAATAATTGAATAAATAAAAATTAAAGGAATGAAAAAAGAAAATAATAAAAAAATAAAAAAGTGTAGAGATTCCAAGTCACGTTAGTTCACGACGTTTCGATTGTTGGTATCTACAATCGTCTTCGGGTGATGACTGGACTGATTCCTCCGAGAGATGACTATTTTATAGGTCGTTGAAATACTTTCACTTTCTCTACTTTCCATTTTCCGCTTCACTGATTCCGTGAGAGATGACCGTTTTGGCGGGAGTTGGTCATTTTTCGTTTGATGATGGGTTTCCATATGTTTCGTATATCTACGCTGGCCTGGCTGAATACGTTGTTGGACAACATGTATGCGGCTTCCTTAAATTTTCTCCTAAACCAATGTTCCTCTCTGTGCAAGATCTCAGCTTGGGACCACTCGATGTTGTGTTGACGGGTCCAAACATGGTCTGCTATTCCTGATTTGCTGGTTTCTCCTCGCTGTGTGTGCTTCTTGTGCTCGGCAATGCGAACATTCAATGGCCTCTTAGTTTCACCAATATAGGATTTTCCGCACTCACAGGGTATCCGGTAAATGCAATTCTTGAAATCGCAGTCCGCGTTTGGGGGCCTGGTTTTCATGAGGCTGCTACGGATAGTGTTACCGGATCTGAAACAGGTTCTAATGTTGTACTTGGAACCAATTCTTCTTATCCTCTCCGATAATCCTCTGATGTAGGGAAGTGCAAGCACTGGTTGTGACGGCTTCTCTTCCTTGCGAGGCTCCTGCTGTCTTTTAGCCAAAGTCTTTTCTACCATCGCTTTGGAGTATCCATTCCGCTGAAGATCATTTTTGATGATGTCTAGTTCCTTCTCGAGACCTTCCTTTGTATTACAGAGCCCAAAAGCACGGTCTAATAGAGTCTTGATGATTCCTCTTTTTGACGATTGATGGTGGTTGGATTCGTGGTTCAGATACTGTCCCGTATGAGTGGGTTTTCGGTATACAGATGTTTCTCACTTAGTGTCGGTCATCTTCACCAATACGTCTAAGAATGGCAATTCATTGTGGATTTCCTTCTCCATTGTGAAAGTGATGGAAGGTCTCACGCTGTTGATGTGTTTCTACTCGATTGTTGAAAAACATGGAAATATATTTAAACGAAAATAAACTGAAAATAATTATTAGGAATAAAACCAAATCAATGACAAACCAAACATAAACTGAAATCAGTTGACTATAAAAAGCTTCAACTCGAAGTGGAGGGAAACAAAATTGTATGGGTGTCAGAATTCGAGTATTTAAGCTTCGTGTTCGATGAATCACTAACACTCTATGCACACTGTGACTATATTTGTAAAAAGATGAAAAAACATTTCTTTTTTCCAGGATTT